ATTTTAATACTCTGTGAGGCTGGTAAGTTGTGAAAAAGTACGAAAAATTATTTCTGCAACATTGTTCATAATGCAAATAGAAAGGTCATCACACACACACACACATACACATACACACACACGCACACACACACACACGATCTTATAAAAGTTATATATATATATATGATTATTTAGTGTCGCGTAGGACTTTACGAAGTATTCGCTTAAGAGACTTAGCCATTAATCATTAACACGTTAATAAAGAAAAGAAGAGTCATACTGGAGATCGCATGAACTGCGTAATAGAATGAATTAAATAAACATTTGAATAGTGTGTATGAAGCCATTACAGTAGAGCGAATTTAAACAGCAAAGCACGCGCTAATAGGATTCGATCGGCAAATTGCTCGAATTCATATGATTTTCTTATTAGCGACGCGAGTTCCGGTCTAACGAGGTTAGTTTGTAAGCTCCTACAAATCTCTCTCTCTCTCTCTCTCTCTCTCTCTCTATATATATATATATATATATATATATATATATATATATATATATATATATATATATGTAGGAGGTGAGAATCGAATTTATATGGGCGAATTTTGTAGCGAGAACTAGTGTCTCCTATCCGTTCTCTCTCCGCCCACGTACGCGCTCATATACTCGGTGGAACATATGTGTTTATGTAGCAGCGAAGGATGTAGGCGAGGACTTGGAAGCCGTCGTCGAGGCACCTGGTGCATCGTATACATAAAACACTGTGTTGGGGAGAAAGTTTGAATTATTTTCAAGGATCGATCCGTGGCTGCCCCTGCCCAACTCGAAATCATCTTCAGCGACTCTATCTACATCGCCCTCCTTATATCTATCTTTCCTCTTTATCCTTTTTTATTTCCATATGCATTCGCAGCTCATTGGTCAAGTACGATACTAGTCGATGATCTTCCTAATCAGGGAACTGATACGCTGTTCAGGACCCAGTTTTTTCTATTTCCTCATTCGTTTCGCCCGTTGTCCGATATTTTTGAAGTATATTATTCTCGTAGCTATTTGTAGGCATTTTATTTTGAAACTACCCGTTACATTAAGGATTCATCCACGTTACTTTGCGCATGTTTTTGGCTGATGTGCACTATAAGATGATGAGTGCAGCTGTAGCAGGAGAAACTGTCCACCCTTAGTGAAATAGTTTCTTCTCTTTCCTTCCTCCTATTTGGTCCCCTATCGTAACCATCGCCGTTACGATGTCATTATTATCATGGGATTGTTATCTCCGTCGACGCCGTAGTCTACTTAATCCTCGTCGTTGTCGTCGTCGTCATCGTCCCTAGCGTCGTCATCGACGTTGAGCACGTATTATTTATGTTGGGGCTCATATGTAAACGATGACATGTACGACGCATATTTTCGTACGGACGTGTTGCCATTAATCAAATTCAATTAGGAGCGACGCATGCGGCTACAGTGTATTAAAGTGACAAATAACGCTCATAGTTTGGGGAAATTTTGACAAAACGCTTACAAGTAGCCCTTGATGATGAAAGAAGCGAACCCAAGGACGTGTATTTACGTCACAGCCTAAGGCTCTATTGGAATTTATAAGCTCGCTAGTCCATGATTGATGATTGATCGGTAGTTTTAGAATCTTAGAGATGCCGTACGAGAAAAAGCGCATTACCTTCTCACGAATATATGTAGACATTAATCGAATGGATAAGAGGTGAATTATTCTTTAGAATTTATGGTAATTGGGTCTTTACGAGGGACGTGAAATGAAATATAATGTTCTATTTTAGCGATGAAGCGAATGACGAATGAATTAATGATATATGTGTGAGGGGAAGAGAGTTGCGATTGAAAATGCAAAAATTTTATTTTAATTTCGTAATAAAAATGCAGAAAATTAAAGGATCGATATAAAGTACGTTTGTCGAAAATTAATCCCATTACCCTGGCAATGGGAGAAGCAAATTTTTGTTTGTTTCTTTTGTCTTATCAAAGCGTGTGAGGGAGATCCATTTGTCGCCCGTTACAATACTCGATCATCGATTGATCGATCGACTCATCGATGTGAAGCCGAGTATGGCAATTCGATCCTATTGGATCTAAAGTAGCTTCGATCAATCTGTGCACTTTTAATGCTACATTATTAGAAATCGTAGTATAGTAAATTTCTTTGGCGACGCGCTCATGAGCGTCATTATCAGTTGGGCTAACGTATAGGATGGGCGAGTCGTAGTGACTTCAAAATAAAGCGTGACCTTTCGCATTCGAGCCCATTGAAAGGCGAGGAAATGAAAGGGGGGAAAAAAGAGGAGAGAAAGATCCGACGCGCACAATGAAAGACGAAGCGAGTCCCTAGACAATACGCATACACGCATACACGCGCGTACCTTGAGAGAGATAGAGTTGGAGAGATAGATGGAGTGGAGATGGAGATAGAGAGATGGAGATGGAGTGGAGATGGAGATAGAGAGATGGAGATGGAGATAGAGATGGAGATAGAGATGGAGATGGAGATTGAGATGGAGATAGAGATGGAAATAGAGATAAAGTCAGAGATAGATAGATAGATAGATGAGATAGATAGATAAAGAGATAGATAGAGAGAGAGAGAGAGAGAGAGAGAGAGAGAGAGAGAGAGAGAGAGAGAGAGAGGCAGATGCACGGCCACGCATCGCCATCTCAATAATTTGGATCGCAACCGGAGCTAAGCAACGGGAGCAGCAGTGACAGCAGCAGTAACGGCCCGCATGCCAATTATCTATATAACGTGGAAACGCTGCGCTGCGCGCCTTTCGCCTTGTGCGCGAATCGATCTTTAGGTCAGACAAGAGCGAGAGCGAGAGCGAGAGCGAAAGCGAGACAGTAGATAGACAGATAGAAAAGGCTGCAGCGACCCCAGGAAATCCGGAGCCTCCGCTATCTCTATCCATCCATCCATCCATCCATCCATCCATCCATCCATCCATCCATCCATCCATCCATCCATCCATCCATCCATCCATCCATCCATCCATCCATCCATCCATCCATCCATCCATCCATCCATCCATCCATCCATCCATCCATCCATCCATCCATCCATCCATCCATCCATCCGTCCATCCATCCATTCATCCGTCTCCATATCTATCTATCCATCTATTATTCGTATATCTATATATGCATATGTAGATGTGTATATTCATCCATCCATCCATACATCGATTTCCTTCTCTCACACGCGCCCTTATCCCGACTCTGCCTCTGGCCCCCATAGAAATAAAGGTCTGTGCCAATGTGAGCTCGGCCACGTCGCATCTCACCATTCAAGCAAATAGACGATCCGTCATTATGCGCGGCATAATCGATTTGTTTCAATTCCTAGTCGTAATCCTAATATTCACCTCTCCTCCTTCCAATACATCCTCAGCTTTGTAATAACGCGCAATTTCTTTTTTCATTCTAGTGGTGCTATCGCGCCATCTCGCTCTCCTTCGCTCCATCGGTCTCGGTCGTTCTATTTAATGTACCGCCGTTTCGCGATAAAGCTGGCAAAGCTTAAAACTTTGAATTTTATGGACTGGAATTTTTAATCCGAGAATCGGATTTAGAACGAAGAGTCAAGCTAAGGTTTCACATTTGGATAGTTGAGAGGAAATCTCTAAGGGGTGTGCATTGTTAATCAAATTCTTATAATTCTTATTGGAAGGTAAGCGTTGACTTATCGATTATTGTCTGCCGAGCTTTTAAAGATCTAATTATTGTTATGATCATGAGTCTTGAGTGTGAAAAAGAGTTGCTTTGATGATGATCGAATCGAAATTATGGATTTTAAAGAAAGTGTAAATGTCCGAAAAGCCGTTTCGTAGAATTTGATGAAAATTTTACCCGATTCTAGGATTAAACGTGTCCGAGGGGGAGGAGGAGCGATATCAGAGAGACTATATATAAATCTGTTTCTATTGTAGAAAAATGTCATGGTCGAAAACACGATCCATGGATGTTATAAATTTTCTGTCGATTAAAATCATCGGATGTTAGTTGATGTTAGGCATTCGATAGCAGATCCCTTTGTCAACATTCATGCGAAAGTCATTGATCTCAGCATCTTATCAATCACTCAACCCCTACTTCAACCCTCACTTCTCGTAATTTAACTCTTATTGAACATTGTGTTGGGTTTGTCCTCCAAAATCCATCGGCTTATCGTAATTTTCCCTATCCGTTTCGTCATGCGTAAATAAAGCCCGTTTTAAGGGTGTTAGTGCACACGAATTCCTCTCCCCTTTCTTTTCCACTTATATGCTTGATTTTCAATATTATAAGGCCATTTAGAGGATTTATATCGAATGCGCATTGTAATATCGAGCGATTAAGAATTTCTTCATTATAAAATTAATCTTGACGAAACAATGTGAATCCGTTGCGTTAAAATTTCTACGAATATTGCTTCGTCAATTGACAAATAAAAATATTGAAATTTTACAATTAACGTATTGAGAATAAAATGTTAATAAGGCATTTCAAGGCATCGTTATGTAACACTTAAATACCTATTTGCTGTACAATTCAAAACTCAAGTCACAATATTAAAATCACGTTTCTCAATCTCATTAGTTTTCATAATTGTTATATTATTGGTTGAACTAATATTATTTGTACAGCCAATTTATTGTACTGAAATTTAATGTTACACAATTGAAAGAATATCGTATTTGTCTGTGCTCGATCATTAGTCGTTTTAATCAGTCCCTCACTCCCTATCAAATATCATTACAAATACATTTGCCATTGCCGGGCTATTTTATATTCATTGTTAGTTTAATCGAATGAAAGTCAAATGAAATTAAGTAAGAAAACGTCACGGACTTTCGTGCATAAGAGATGGAGATCTGCATTATGGAAAGTTAAGAATAACAAAATGTTGGGAGAGAAAGTAAATCGGGAAATAATCAGGATTTCTAATAAATATCTGAGCTGGGGTGATGATAATAATTGATCCTGTTATCTTTTGTTCCGGACGACGATATTAGATGGCCCGACAAATGTATACACCAACATCTTTCTCCGCTCAATCAGCAAAATCAATGATTATTCCATGGTGAGTGCTTCAAATATCCATCCAGCTAGGCATAAACCATCCTGTATATATATATATGTGTGTGTGTGTGTGTGTATGTATATATGTGTCTGTATATATATATATATATATATATATATATATATAAACATGATCGCACGCAATGTTTGTATATATTTTATATATACATATATATATATATATATATATATATATATATATATATATAAAGTCACATGTGTTACGTGGATTCGCCAGCCCATAAAAACATTCATACATGCTCGTATATCATTAATTGAAAACTTTGATTACGTAATAATTATAGTAACATAAATTGTCAGGCATAAAAAGGAAATTATCAATTATTTACAAAACAGATATCGTACTATATGGTTTTAAAGTAAATTAATAATTTAACGAGGGCATATTGCCGTTTATGATCACAAATGATTACTTACGAATATTTGCAGCTGTACGTAGTCAAGGTTTTTAAACAATTATAAATAATCATATTTGATCATATATTTGCATAATATTCGATTACGTACGAGTATCATTGATCGACTTTACACGGGAGATTTGAATTTATTTGTATACGGTACCGAGTTTATTACATATATAATTTACGTTCGTATTGTATAACTCTATATATACATATAATTGGACGTCCCATCGTTATTATCGATATATATTTCATATTGTTATAACCTCATTATACATACATGTATCTGTTTATGTATGTTTTTTCGTTTGTCTGTGTTTGTCTGTGTTTGCCTGTGTTTGCCTGTGTTTGTCTGTGTTTGTCTGTGTTTGTCTGTGTTTGTCTGTGTTTGTCTGTGTTTGTGTGTATGGGCGCGCGCGCCTGTGTGCGTATAGAATGTATATGGGCGTATGTAAGTGCGTCTGCGCGCGCGCGCGTGTGTTTGAGGTGTGTACGTATGTGCATATGTACGTATGTATGCACGTGCGCGTGCGTATGCGTATGCGTGTGCGTGTGCGTTTATGTGTATGTGTATATATGTACACGCACTCACGCACGCACGCATACATGCATGCATACAACGCGCGCACGCATACATGCATGCATATATACATATATATATATATATATATATATATATATATATATATATATATAATTGGATGTGAGCTACGTATTGTTCAGTTTTCAATGTCGTTATATATTTACGTATAAATAGTCGTGTGTATTTCAAAAGAGCATATAAATTAACTATATTGGCTGTATACGGTTTGAAATGTCTGTATATTATATTAAAAGAAGCTGTATTCTATATACGAATGTATATTTTAAAAAAAAAAATGCTATGCGTATAACGTATAAGAGTACATTGACGCATCAATGATAGAAAATAAAATTCCTTCTTTGCTTTTTACTGCTTATTCCATAAATAAAATTCCACCAAAAATATTTACATTTGAGAAAGATGCAAGTTATTTTACCGTACAAAAAGGAAACGGATATTTGCAGTGTCATTAAAATAAATTTGTCTTTGTACAAAAAAAAAAAAAAAAAAAAAAAAAAAAAGAAAGAAAGAAAGAAAAAAAAAGAAACGAGAAAGAAAAAAAAAGAAACGAGAAAGAAAAAAAAAGGGAATTATACGAGTATGTTTTATTTAAAATTACTCGCCTGTGTACTTTAATTACTTAAGCTAAAAATATCACACATTGACAAATACATACTTGCTTAAAAAAATATTCATATTGAAAATTATATACAATTATTTTAAGATGAAAGTTTTCTTTGAATTGGCATAAGATATTAATTTCATTATTTATTATTTACAATAATATATGTATATATCTTCTAATTAATATTGCTCTAATAATAAAATTTAACAATATTCGTAAGAAATGAAATCCTTTAACGACAAAAAAAATATCTAAATGTTTCATCGATTGTTAATTAATTGATCAACAATTGATTGTCAACAATTGATTCTATAAAATTTTTTTTACATATATATACTCTATAAATTAATTATTCCAAATACTATCGTGAAAAATATTTAATGTCTACGCGTCCCTTCTTTTTATATGAAAAATCTTAAAAGATTTATTATTATCATAAAAGTTTGCAGCGACATAAAAGTGCTTTAAAATTCGTAGCAATTAAAAAATATGAAATGACATTTAAAAGAATAAGGAAATAAATTTCAATGTAAACTCATGGTACTTTAAAAAATGGCAATATTGAATCGAATACATTTAACGCTTTTGTTTCTCAATAAAAAAAAAAAGAAAGGCTTTTTAGCAGGAAACAGGCATACGATATTGCAACATTCGCTTAAAAAATATTTGTATATTTGTCAATGAATACAGTAGGTACAATAAACAATTGAGATGACTACTACAACTATTGTAATTTATACTTGGACAAAGTTTCATCATAATCACATTACAGCTGGAATTCGGCAACTTTGCGCGCATAATCATGATAACGTGCGAGCTCGCGCATCTCGTGTATCCGAACGAAAATGTATGTACATTATTCGGGCGCGCGCGCACACGCAAGGAAACGCACATATGAATATATATATATATATATATATATTACGGAAACTTCCCTGCCATATTGCCTACGCGCATATATACATATTATTATGTCGTTGGTGTTCATTAATGCTCTCGATGTCTGACCCTCGCTAAAATATCACCGGCTTCATCTCGCCCCGCGACTCCTCGCAATCGAGTGTACAAGTCCGACGAAATAATTGACCCATGATTAATCGAAGTCACCACCCGATCCATCCAACGATCAGCGACGATCCGACGACGATCCCCACCCTCGCCTCTCGTCATAATTCACTATCACGTAGCGTGAAATTTATAGCCGCAAAGGCAGTTAGAAGAGCTTCTTTGCGTCCGAATGTCCGTCGACGAAATCCGTTCCATGACTTCCCGGACCTCGCGAATACTCCACAACTAGAGCAAAGGAAAAGATGAAACGAAACTGGAACGCTGGATTATGGGATCTCCGTGTGGAGGTTGGCTTTGGACTTTGGACGCGTGTCCTCGACCCCCGGTGCTGGCCCTCTTACAAAAGACTCGCCACCAAGGAAGCGGAAGGACCTTTGTCCTCACCGACTACTATCCGCTTTCTACCTCGTCCATTATCCCCTCCCTCCTCACAGTGCGCCACGGGGTGCATATCGTCTTATTAATAATGCGTCTGACGCAATTGGAAAGCCGAGTAGTCGTCGTGATTTGCGTTTTTTTCCGCGCACTCACTGTTCTCCTCCAGCCCCTCGTGATTTTTTCTTTTAATTTTTTTTTTTTTTTTTTTTTTTTTTTTTTTCTTCCCCTGAGAGAAAGAGATTTTGAGAGCCACTGTCGAAGGAGCCCACAGACCATTTCTCCTTGGAAATATATTTTATGCGGATGCTTGTTCACGGCCGAGGACATTCAATGCCTCATTGGCTCCTGTAGTGGCAATTTCAATTTCGCCGCTCATTCAATCCTCCGACAAGAGTATAATTTTATTCGCACAGCGGACGTTGATTCAGCAAACGATATTATTCATTTTCCAGCGAAGGTAATTGTGATTGATGAAGCCAAGTCTGACCAGTTTCCCAAACTTTTGAGCTATTTTTCATTGTCGGTATTCATGTCCAGGGGATTTTGGATAGTTAGCGGGTAATAAATTTTTTAATTACTTACTAATTAATAATTGTATGATAATTAAATTCCTCACAATTGCCGGGGGCAGAAAGAAAATTATGCTTCTGCAACTGCGTTGTTCTTATACTAATTCTCTCTTTCTAATACTTATTGCTTTAGCCGAATTTATTACAAGTCTTTGATGATTATCATTGTAATCAGCTTTACCCTTGGTAATGCAAACGAACAATATTGTATTTTAGGATAAACGAAGCTCCCCGTAATCCACTGCTATATTATTTTATTTTTTTTTGTTTTATGCTGATGATGTTTTTTTTTTTTTTTTTTTTTTTTACAATTATTGATATTGTCGGTCTAATAATGAGAGTGATGAGAGTAATTATAATAGACCGCGGGGATAATAATTATCTCGAGTAATAGAATATAGTACAAACAGTCTGTACGGCGTTTTCTCGAGCGGACGGATCGTTCCTACGAACATTACTCTCGTTACAATTATTCTAGTAAAGCAATTGAGAAAAGTATACTCAGCCTCGCGAATCTCTATAAACCTTGAAGAACTTTTATTTATATTCTTTTAAAATGTTTTAAGAATCAACGTTATAAATTATCCGCTTCGAGTGCGGAGTTTTAGATAACTCAGAGCATCGTGGACTTAAGAGGAACCCGGATCTTTTCGTTAACAATTCTAACTTCTCCCGCGAATTTTTCACTGTTTATAAGAAGATGGGGTGAGTGACGAGATGGGAGGATGAGAAGGAGGTGGATGAGGATGAGGAGGAGGAGGAGGAGGAGAAGAAGAAGAAGAATAAGAGGAAGAGAAAGAAGAAGAAGAAGAAGGGGTTAACAGTCGGCCCACGGTGTGGTGGGGTAAAGTGGCCATTACCAACTGGAAAATTCAGAGTACATATATTCGCAAAGCGCCTACTTACGTATATACGTGTGCAGGCACCAATACATGTATATACATACAATAGTATAGGGAACGGCAAAGCCACTCATGATGATACTGGGCGTGAAATTCACATAAATAACTCGAGTGCAGAACTCTGGTTTCTTGCGATTATCGCCTCTTCATTTTCGAAGCTTTTTTACTATCTCACCTCTCACACTCGCTCAAGCATCTATCTATCTCTCTCTCTCTCTCTCTCACACATCTTTCCCTTTGTTTCTCTCTCTCTCTCTCTCTCTCTCTCTCTCATTCTCTCTCTATCCTCTTAGCCATGCATTGTACACGTATCCATTTCATCCTCTAAAATGATCTCTCTAGCGCGAATATTTTTCCTTCTGTCTTTTACTCCCCCGTATCTTACCTCCATCCTTTGATCCTTACGTATGTAGATAAAAGATTTGTAAGCATTGGAGTATTCATAAAAGGATAA